GAAAAAAAGAATGGAAAAGTGGACAGAGCCTTAAGCATCTAAGGGACACTATCAAGCAGACTGATATACGCATTATAGGAGTCCTAGAAAGAAAGGAAAGAAAGAAGACATCAGGGAGATGAATTGAAATAATGACCAAAACCTTTCCAAATCTTAGGAACGATACGGATCTACACATCCAAAAACCTCAACAAATATCCAAACAGGATGCTTATTCATCTAAAATATGATTTTCAGAGATTTCCTGTAGGAAATACTCTAATCTTGAACTTGGGTGAAAAATTAGCTATAAATATTTATCATAGCCATTCTGTAATTGTAAAATTTGGGGACAATCTGCACACACAATAATAGAGGATCTGATAAATAAAGTAAACATAGAAGATGGAACATTCTATAGACATCAGAGAAACTATTCGGTATTTGCATATATGTGACATTTATTTCACTTAGGAGTATATCCTCAAAATGTACCCATTTACCTACGAATGAATCTACTTTCTCATTCTTTATGGCTTAGTAGTATTCCATTTTATAGAAAAACCACATCTTCTTTATCCAGTTTCCAACTGATGGGCAAATGGGCTGTTTCCAAGTTTTAGCTATTACAAACTGTACCACTATAAACATGGGTGCGCATATATCACTGTGATATGATTCTTTTAATTCTTTTGGAAAGATACCCAGCAGAGGGATGGCTGGGTCAAATGGAACCCCTAATCCTAGTTCTTTGAGGTATCTCCATATTGACTTCCATAGTGGTTGCACCAGTCTGCACTCTCACCAACAATGGAGAAGGGTTCCTTTCTCCCCACAACCGCACCAACATTTGTTATTGTGTGATTTCTTGATAGTAGCCATTCTTTGTGGGGTGAGGTGAAATCTCAGTGTTTTTATCTGCATCTCTCGAATGACCAGTGATGTGGAGCACTTTTTCATATATTTCCTTGCTGCTTTTACTCCTTTGTCTGAGAAGTGTCTGTTCATTTCAGATGCCCATTTTTGAATCGGGTCTTTATATTTGAGGGGGCTGGTTGTTTTGAGTTCTTTATATATTTTGGATAATAGTCCTTTGTCTGAGGAGCAGCTGGTAAAAAGTTTTTCCCACATTGTAGGTTGTCTCTTAGTTCTGTTGATGGTTTCTTTTGGAGTGCAGAAGATTTTTAATAAAGTGAGATCCCAGTTGTTGATTCTTTCTCTAGTTCCCGTGCTACTGAGGATTTGTTCATAAAGTCTTTTCCTATGCCATTGTCTTCCAGAGCTCTGCCTAACTTATCTTCCAGCAAGTTTAGTGTTTCTGTTTTAATATTTAGATTTTTAATCCACTTGGATTTTAATTTAGTGCATGGTGACAGATAAGGGTCTAGTTTTAGTCTTTTGCAGGTTGAGATTCAGTTTTTCCAACACCATTTATTAAAGAGGCTATCTTTCCTCCAGTGGGGATGGTCAGCTCCTTTGACAAAGATGAGGTAGTTGAGTGCAGCTGGAGTTGTTTTTGTGTTTTCCAGTCTGTTCCACTGATCCTCAGTTTCTTTGCCAGTACCATGCTGTTTTTATCACAGTGGCTTTGTAGTATAGTTTCAAATTGGGAATTGTTATACCTGCTGCCATGTGTCTGTTGCCTAGGATGGCTTTTGCTATTCTAGGTCTCTTATGGTTCCAAATGAATTTTTGGATTCTTTTTTCTAGTTCTGTGAAGTATAGTGTTGGGATTTCAATAGGCATTGCATTGAATCTGTATAGCAGTTTTGGTAGTATGGCCATTTTCACTATGTTGATTCTTCCTGGGATATCTTTCCATTTTCTTATATCCTCTTCAATCTCTTTTTTCAGAGTGCTGTAGTTTTCAGTGTAGAGGTCTTTTGCTTCTTTTGTTAGATTGACTCCCAGATACTTCATTTTTTGGGGCGCTATTGTGAAAGAAATTGTTTCCCTAATTTCTCTCTCAGTGAGTCTGTTATTTGTGTACAAGAAGGCTCTTGATTTTGGGGTGTTGACCTTGTATGCAGCTACTCTGCTAGAAGTGTCATTTAAGTCGAGAAGTCTTTTGGTTGAGTTTTTTGGGTCTTCTATGTAGAGTATCATCTCATCAATGCGGACAATATTTGAAATATAAAGGGGAGGTAACAAATGCCTTGTGCAGGGCTGGGGATTTAGCTCAGTGGTTCCACCATCTGCCTCATAAGTACAATGTCCTGAGTCCAATCCTCAGTACCAAAACAAACAAACAAATGCCTTGTGCAATTTTTAGTTTTGTAACATGGGTAAACATGTATGTGTGCATGACAGAGGATTTAGAAAGGAAGCCATGAAAGAGCTGTTTTTGGTTTATTTTTTTGAATAAGTGAGATTAAAAGTGTTTTTCTCCTTATTTTTTGCTTCTGTATAAAACTATAGGTTCTATAAGAAGAGATAAAATAATCTATCTGTACATTAGTCGCACACCAACAAGGTCAGGGAGGAGATTTGGAATGACATGGCTTCCCATCGAACCATTGCTGCTTCCTGTCCCAGCCTCACATGTCTGCTCCCTAGTCTCTCCACTGAGATTAAGCGTTTGCCCTTGGGGTGCTCCCCCCACAAGGCCTCTCTCAGTGCTCCAGCTTATAATTTCTGGCACTCTAACAGATCTAGAGCTAATTTTTAGGTTGACTAGTGACTTCATCATTCAGTTAGATGGCTTTTGAGTCTAAATTATCTGTCTGCTAAGCCAATCTTAGCTTTTCTACTACAGCTTGACCACCATTGCACATGCAAATAAAAAAGGCCACTCACTACAGGCAACACATCTCCAGACCTCCTTCACTAACTGTAAGAGCAAGTGCCACAATGACCAGTTAAACCTCTGGATTTTTATCTCTGAGTTTGCCAAGGTATGTTGGCAAATTTCCTCTTTAATTTACATAATTCCAGCTAGCATCATTTTCCCCTCAGGGGCTTTTCGCTATCAAACATAAACAGGAAATAAAAGTCAGTCTTCTCACCTTTGCCAAAGCCAAATGAAATCAAATTTTAAAAGTAATAAAATAAAATGAATGATGGTCATTACCCTGCCACAGCTATTTCACAATAACAAGGTCTGACACATATTAATTCTCAATGCAGCCAGATACATGCCCAGACTCTAAAAATCTATACTCACTGCAGGCTAAGACGACTCCATCCCAGGGTATCATCAGAATTCAAGTCTAGGAACTTTGACCTGAGCAGTCTACGAGAATGAAGTCCCACCAAGGAATTCCAATAGAATTCAGTGATGAACAGTTCCATTAGGCATTTTCCACTTCTAAAAATAAATTGTACTACAAATCCAGAAATACTGTCACCAAGAGGCATCAATATGTACAGGAATGACACCTTTGGTTAGAAAAGCCAACTTGAGCCTGCAGATCTGAGAGGAGGACCCACTCTGGTCTCTTGGACTTCCGGGAAAGAGTTTGTCTACCGAAAGGGAAAACTAGACTGCAAACCTATAGCAGTAAGACAGGGTTCAAGGTGGGAAAGGAGGACCGTCCACTGCTCTCCTGGTTCCTTAGGCCAGGAACTGAGACCTGAATTCCAGGAAGAAGCCAAAAGAAAAAGTGATTTCAAACCAGAAGAACTGGCTCTCCATGTTCTCTGTAAGCACTGTGATCATATATCCAACATGCTCTGTAACTGATGCACTGTATGTGAGATAAGGGAATGAGCTAGTGTTAGAGGGATAAATGGACTCCAACGACAGAAGAGCCTATGTACAAGGTGGAGGAGCGGGAAGTCTTCATGTGATGCCTTCTGCAGCAGCAACAGAAGCAGAAAACAACGGAAAGCAAGAAACGAGAAAGACAGTAGCATTGGAGTTGGAAAGTTGGTGGTGGAGAAGACTGGAGGGGCACAGAGGTAAGACAGACGCCTTACCTGTTTCCAGAATGAGCTGCGGTGACTTAGAAGCAGCAAAGGTGTGGCTCCTCTTGTGGCCTTCTTTTGGGGACCTGCCTCATTTGGGGTGCCTGTACATACACCTGCCCGGCTCCTGAGATGGAAAACATGATTTCTTTGGGAGTTTGTCAATAAAGGACGCAGAAACAGTGGATGGGTTAAACAGAGTATCTTCTGAGATAGGCTGCAAAGGCTTTTGCTCTGATGTTGGTGGAAAGCTGGCAGAAGTTCATAGGGGAGGCTGAGGAGAGGAAAGGCAGGGCTATGTACAACAGAAAACGTAGTCTCACAGAAACATAAAACTGGAAAAATAATCCCAAACCTGCTTACTCCAGACCCTTCCCTCTTCTTCATGACACACAGACCTCTTTCTATTTTATGGGCCCAAATCTCACAGCATAAGCCAAATTTTCTTTCTTTTATACCTACTTCCACCCACTATGCTCCATGGACTCCTCTCAGATCTATACTCCATGCAGTCAGATCTCTGAACTGTCCACTGGTTCACAGTTAATAAGAGACTAACCAGTATAAAGTGTTTCAGAACGTGAAAGAATGGACGTTTGAATGGTTGCGACTCCAAACAGGTTGGAGAAAGAACAAAGTAGATAATGAATATAAAACCTTCCAAAACATCTCATGTAAGAGGACAGGAAGTAACATTAGTTTTGACCCTCTCTGTCCTTGTGCCCTAAGTGTTAGACATGAGCTTTAAACTCTCATTCTAAACATTGGTTTCACCCACTTTGAGAATGCAATAGATCTGATTCCAATCAGGCTGTGTACTTATCTGCTAGGTAGCTTTGAGCTTTATTTTCTTAACTGTAAAATAGAGATGATGAACCTCAGAGAGCTAGGAGATGTGCCCAGGAAACTTTTCAAAATGTTTGTTATTCTCCTTAGTACTAACTTTGTTCTTTTGCCCTTCACTCCTGCCCTCACCCCTCCCACTTTCTACTTCCCTTTGTTCTCTAGTAGAGTGGAGTAAATGTAATCTCCCTAGTAGGACTTACCTCTTAGTGACATCAGAATATGTATTTGTCAGGGTTTCTTTGGCTGCAGGTAACAGCCACCGGAGTGAAACTAGCTTAGGCAAAGTAGGGAATTACCAGTTTATATAACAGTATTTTAGAGGTACTGTGGCTTCAGGTGTGACTGGATCAAGGGATCCTCATGACAGTAAGACTAAACTTCTCTTTCTCAATATGTTAGTTCTGTTTTTCTCTGCATCAACTTTATTTTTAGTCAGAGTTTCTCTCTATATAGTGGTTCTCCTGGAAGCTCTTTAAGCTATTAATTGCTACCTAGAAACAAAGGTTTCTTTTTCCAAGCAGTTATTGAAATCCCCAAAGCAGTGGGTGTGGACAGGGTGATAAGATGCTCTACTTAGCCAAGTCTGAGTCATGTGCCTGTTCCTGAAGACAAATGGACTAAGTTAATGAGGAGGGTTTGCTCTCTAAGGGAAATCAGAATTCTGATTCACAGATGACAGAGGGGAAATGCTAATGGGCACAAACAACAGAAGGCTAGACCCCTTTAAAAGGAGGAAAAATCAAGAAATACAGGGAGTCCCAGACTCCCAGGTAAGACTGAGGAATGTGCCCCATTCCCTCCACCACTGTCTTGAGATATGAAATTGGAGGAACCAGAATCAAAGTCCCACAAAAGAGAGTTCATGTCCACCAAAAAGGGTTATTTTTTGTATTCCTGGGAAATGAAGGTCTTAAATTTAGACATCTAAAAGAAAAAAAAATGTATGAGTCAAATCCATACCAAAATAAGGCAAGGGAGAACAAAAGATATCATCAGGAACCTGAGGCATCAGGTGTCAGACAACACTTTTCCTGTTCGGCGACCTATTAAAAATGTTTGAGGTCTAAAAATATGTATTTATTGACTCCAAACTATGAAAAAAAACTTAAAATTGAGGCTATAGTACTTAATTAAATGTGAAAATGTCTGCCAATCTGAATATTAGATCAACTTCAAGAGTAGCTACATTTAATATTTGTAAAACCCCCATGCTACTGGAAAACAATGTGAACGGGAGAGATTGCTCACTTTGTAGGAATTTCGAAATTCACACAACGGTTGCCAAGAAATCTCAGCCGTCGCCGTATGTGAAATGAGGTCCTCACAGCCAAGTCACTTCAAAGGCAAAGTGATCTTAAAAAAAAACCTTTTCAAGCCTCGTAGTAAAAGGGAGAGGTGGGTGGATTTGAGTCCATATGATGATGTGACGGGGGTGCCTTGGGAAGTGAGGTACCTGGATGTCTGAACGGCCCTGCCTGCCCACGGGACACAGCGGAGCCAAGCCAGGGAGTCCACAGCCATCTGCTCCATCCCCCAGCCCCTGCTCCGAACCTCTCTGGGCCGAGCCCACACCTCTCTTTTAAGCCTCTATCATAGCAACAGCCCCAGGGCCAGACCCCTAATTACCAGCTACTTCTAAGTGCCAGAAAAAAAGCCTCCTCCAGCCCTCCACCCCTCCCCAGCACAAGCCCAGGGGTTCAGGCAGGTTCAAAAGGTGAAATAAATGAATCTTTACACATTATAAGGACCCCAGCAACATTCTCTGTGGCATTAGTGGCTGAAACAGCAGCAAGTAAAAGCAGGTGTGCTGGGCGCCCTGTCAGCTAACGACACTGATAAGCCTGCCATGCCCGGTTCTGCTTCATTTCAAACAGACTGCTGGAAAAAAAAGGAGGGGAAAGCCGGAGCAGAAATAATTGCTGGAGCTTCCAGTGAGCAGAGAGCCTGCAGGCAGAGATCAACGGGCCTGATTTCATCCTCTGCCTTTTATTTCTATAACCTTAAACGTTCTGCTATTATAAAAGTCATCATGTCAGCTTTCTCCCCAGCCTCTCCAGCTGCCCATTTTCAAATTGTATCAATTGGTAAGGCTTTTGGGCTGCAGGATTTTCATCTTGATTTATGGTTTCTGGGCTTTAAAGATGAAGCAGACTCCACTGACCTGATTCAGAGCATGGAGGCAATGCTATCCTGGGCTGTGCTTAGAATCGGGTCCTCCCAGAACCACCACAAAACCAGCCAAGCTTGTGTGTGTGTGTGTGTGTGTGTGTGTGTGTGTGTTTAAAAATACTAGATATTAAGGCAAATTGCAAGCGAATATCATTTGTCATACTTCTCCCACTAAAGTGGATGAAAAAGAGTCTGGTTCTTGCAGTCCTTTGGGATCAGGGCTGCAGGCTTCAAGTTCTTGAGGATATTGATGGTCAGGCTTCTAGAGGGAAAACTCAGAAACTAGAGGTACACAGGCAATGCAGGGAGCCCTCATGGGGCCCAACTGAACCACCACTTTCGGAGTACAGAATGGAAAGGGCAGAGAAACAAGGCCTGTGCTGACCTTTTAGACTGGTGGAGTGCATAAATAGCAAAAAGTAAGCACCTAAAGATACAAGCATAACCTGCTGATTTCAGCAAGGACAGGGTCTTGCAGGGAGAGCTTGGGAGTTTCTTTCTATGGACATGTGTTGGGCAGTGGAGAGAGTGTGTTATTAAAATGTTCAGGTGAATCAGGAGAGGGATGTGGACCAAACACCAGCTTCCGCAACCCTCTTCATGTGTTGCTCACTGGAGACTCTGGAATAAATAACCTCTGTCCTGCAAGTAGGTGTGCCTCTATTTCCCCATCACCCCCACCCCATGGAGCAAAAGGGTGTGACCAGAAGGGAGACAGGAGTGGGAGAATTTAGACTCAAAAGAGACGAGTCTCCGCCAAGCTCTCTTGGGAAAAGCTTTGGTTGTGGGATGCCTGCCTGGGTGTGGTGGAGACAACAGGGAACAAGCCTTCCTGGGAATCATGGGTCAGAGTCAGGCTGTGTGGCCCAGATGCAGCCAGAGTGCAAAGGAATCAATCAGACACCTGCAGCATGAATTTATCAGTGGGACTCTCAGGGTGGAGGTGGCAAAGATATATGAGGCCCCATCTACAAATCTCCCCAGGAAGGATGACAGAGGTCCCATGGTTCCTTCTCTGATTTCTTCCAATTAATCTAAACATGAAGACCATGGGCCTATTGAGTTATAATATCGCTTTGCAGGCTCTGAAAAACACACTTTCCTGAGAATTAAGCATCTTTCAAATGCTGCTAACAAGAGCAATGGTTGTTGATCCACAGGTAAAGCTGTGGTAAGAGATAAGTGCCTGCCTGCCTGTGTGTGTGTGTGTGTTGAGAGAGAGAGAGAGAGAGAGAGAGAGAGAGAGAGAGAGAGAGAGAGAGAGAGAGAAGAAGAGAAGAGAAGATGCTTGTGTGTGTGTGTGTGTGTGTGTGAAAGAGAGAGAGAGAGAGAGAGAGAGAGAGAGAGAGAAGAAGAGAAGAGAAGATGATAATTGTGCCAGGGACATTGACAGATGTGACAGAAAGTGTCTTCATTGAGAAACTGCCATCTGAATTTCCCCCTTGTTCCTACAGAAACAGGAGGAGAGGGGCATGAGGGAACCTGACAGGAAGTGAGGATTCGAGACTTCAAATACAAACATTATGAAAAACAAGCAACATCTGCAAACAGTAAGTACTTATTTATATTTTATGGAGTGTGTGCTTGGGATTCTGACAGGTTTTTAAACAGAGACCATATTAGGCCCATTCAAAGGCGAGAATGTCCCTTTTAAAAATGCATTACCCCGCTGCTCAGGCAGGTCCGGCTGCCCCGCTGGCCTCAGGTGAGCCCTGACCCCTGCCGACCTGGTCTAACAAAACACACATGCGGTTTGCAATGGGACCGTTTAGTGCTCCTCGCTCAAGGTCAGCGCAGGCGGGCGCCGGAGGGTTAGTATTCAGTGAGCTTTTCCCTCAGCTGACAGAGCCACTTTGAACTTTTCCCTTCTGAACAAATAGGAAGAGAAACTGCAAGAAAACAAGTGCTGGAAATCATAGAAAAGAGCACGCAGCAAATAAATAAGCCGCAAATAAATAAATAAGTGGCCAGTCTTGTCCCCAGCAAATAAAAGATACCCTTCCTAGGGTTCCGGGGATCCTATGCATTTGGTGCATAGGAGAAACTTTAAAATAAAAACAACAGAATAAGCCTGCTCTCTTTTCCCCCCTCCGAAGGATGAACCCTTTATTTTTGACAACAAATAAGAGGCAGTTGGCAGATACTGTGTGCTGTGCACCATGAAATATTTAGTAAGGCAATAACGACTCCCCGGACAGCTTAAGAAAACCACGATTATATTCAGAGAGAAAGCCATGAGCAAACAGAGGGGGGAAAATAAAAAGAAAGATAAAGGAAGGCCTTTCATCAGGACTTCCTGTCCAATAATGCAGCCAGGCTTGATCCATATGTTTTGAGAAAAATCAAAGTGTCACAACTATCCAAAATGTCAATAGCTCCAGTAAGGAATATTGTCTAACATTTTCTATTACACCGTTCAAGAATTTGCCTCCCAGTGCAATTTGGAAGAAAAAAAAAACTCTTTCATTTTGAAAACACTCAAAGAAAAGAAAGGAGAAGGGGGAGGTGGAGAAAACTGAACAAGGCGCATTTCAGAGCAATGTGTAATACAATCGGGCCCTGGGATCCCAAACCATCCGAAAGCCGATCGGCTGATGAAAGTGTGCTGCCCTGTACACCTCTCGGATGTTCTGGCCTTTCTTTGCAGACACTCTCTCGCAGGCACTTCCTGGACAGTGGGATGTAACCGAGCAAGCTCTGTGCAGTAGGAAATCGGAGAAGTCCAACTTTCAGCAGCCTTCATATTTGGGTAATCCTGTCTAATGACTTCAGGGTTGGGTCATGGAAAACTCCACTGGCATATATATATATAT